CTGTAAATAGGAAAATGCCTTTGTTACTCAGAGGGAGGGGAAGAGGTTGTGCTCTGTACCAAAGGGTGTCAGGGCTGAATAGTTTTAATTTGTTCACCCAAAGACTCCTCAGAATTTAAAACATGTTTTGAACACACTTTTAATTTGGGATATATATCTAGTTACCAGGGTTAAAGGTTTGACACATGACTGTATAGCAGTTTGACCTGTTCCTCCTTTTGCAATTGGTGTATTCTGAATTAAATTGTATCGCTTGTTTCATGCACGAGCTGAGAATGTTGGTCTAATATGTACTGAAAGCCTTCAACTGTCCTATCATTTTAATTATTCCTGAAATACTGATGGCAGAGGAGGCACTCCCTGAGACTACAAGGATAACGATCTTTACCTTGAAATGCCAAAGGTGATAGGACCAATGTTTGAGTGAGGATTACTCATTCATTAGGTAAATTCTGTATTTCCTCTGCTAAGAACCAACCGCTTGGACCATCAGGAGTTAATCAAGCAGCTGTGTTCTATCAGCTCTATTTTACACATGCAGAAGCATATTAACAGTCTTGTGAGGTGACTGAACTGCTACTCCCAAAAATAGTTCTAATGTGCTAGTCTCACATTTGCAGTTATCTAATTTTATCCTCCTCAACCATAATGCCTCACCCTAGAAGCATGTCTTTATTCTGGATTTGCACCTTCAAAAATAGCAGAATACTGTCAAATTAAGGACAACTCTACCAAGTACATCTCCTTCGCCTGACAAGGGACTGCCACAAACTACACACTCTCATGGTACAGCTGAGAGTCCCTTGTTCATCTTGACTCTTGAGAGCTGTTTCTGGAGGCCAGAATTCACAACAGTTTTAGGCTTAACAACATTCCAAGCTGAAGGAAATTGCATCTTTTGTTTTCTGTCTGGATGAATCTTTGTATAAGTGAAACAAAACCTCTGCCAGGGAGGTACCGTCAGTAATGACACAGAAGAGTAAACATGAACTCCAAGTCGGCACTGGTTGTCCTCATGCATTTTGAATGCCCTTGTTCTGTCTGGCAAGGTTTGCAGGGGAAGTCCTTTGAAGACATAATGCTAAAGTTAGGGGTTTTAAGTGCAGGGGTGTATCTGGGTATACAGGAGAAATCATTACGGGCTCTGGTCTGACCTAATCAAATTGAGGAGTAATTGACCTTAGCAATCACTTATTCAGTCAGCATTATTGTAAAAAGAACTTATACAGGATCAAGCAATTGCTGCCCTATCCTTGAAAATAACTAGCTAACATAAACCCACACATGACAATCACAATTAATAATCCTTTTTTTTTAATCAAAGGTGAATTAACACTGCTTCTATGTATGTAGTCAAGTTTTGTAACAATCTTGAAACTTGGAAAACTACAACCAATGTTAATTAACTAGCAATACTAATTATTATCATTGTTCCTATTGTTTAATAGCTGCATTATCACATAAGCATGAGCCATTGTGTTCAGGATGGTGCACAGATACCCTAAAAGTTGGTATTTACTTCAAAACACAGTTGTATCAGGATTAAAGTGGAAAAACCACAGGACAGAGAAGTGTGCACAGCATTTATAATTTAGCCACCATGTAGCTCAATTGAACCTACTAAAATGGAAATCATATGAGAACTCTTACATTGTTATACAGAAAAGATTAGAGGTCAGATTTTGAAAACTCTAATTCAGAAAGAAAAAGAGCCCTGCAGACCAGGGACTTCCAGAGAAGTTGAGGGAAGCTTTTATGGAATATAATCTTCTTCAGTGTTCAGGAGGGCAACTATGTTTAGCAGCCTGGTGGCTGCTTGAGACATCAATCTGTGAGCTTTGGTCTCCCAGCCAGATGCAAATTGGTGGGAGGGAAACACAGCTTGTATGTCAACAAGTCCCTCAAGACCGTTGACTGAGAAGGTGGGAAAATGCTCCCATTTCAAACAGCAGCACTTGGACCAACTAGTGAGTATGTATTTCCTGCTCCTATTCCTTACTAGAAAGCTTCTAAACTTCGTGCTCTGTCATCTCTGTGTGAAGCATGTCTGTTGTGCTGATGGCTGTATTACAAGCTCTACAGCAAATAACTGGGCACTTCCATAAGAGTATGGGTTCTTATCTACCTGTGCAAAAGCAGTGGATGTGGCAATTGTGGTCAGGAATGCAGTGATCAAGTGATACTTCTCTTCAGGAGGGGCTGAGTGAAGAGCAATGTAGGATGTATTTTTGCAAAAGGAGCAGGAGTGTATATTGATATGGTATGGAATATGGTAAATATGGCATCTTATAAGAAAGTCATTAAAAAAATAAAAATATGTATATACTCCTTGAATGTGTTTATACCTTCTAATGGCAAGATTTTATTTGTCCTTTCTGGTGTATGTTGATTCAAGTGGCATAAATACAGAAAAACATAAGTATGACTGAAACTCGTAAAGCCTTACAATATCAGTATCCCTGAAGTTTCCTTATACACATTTAATGTGGAAGAATCTTACTGTTATTTTTAAGCATTCCTTGTACTTAGATTCACACATATGTCTCTCTGCAGTACTTCACTTTCCAGTAGAAAAGGAAAATAAAAAAAAGGTTAACAATTACTATTCAGTTTGTGTTGTTATAACAGATAATAACAAACTTGACCCCAGCAACTTGTAGCACAGGAAATGCAAAGGAACTTAACCTGAAAGTTTGAATAATTCCCTGTAGTTTAGCAGAGATAACCTTGGGTTCTGAGTTCAGCTGCTTTTCTGCTTCTCCTTCAGTACTCCCATGTGGGATACCGAAGGAGCTTGGTGACAGATTTGTAAATGTAGCATTGAAAACATGATTCGAATCATAATAGGAATATAAATAAATACTTAAAAGTTCCTGGTACCACCAAGCCTATCAGTGCTAAGGGAAGTTTTTAGGTGGGGGAGGGGAAGAATGATGCTACTGAGATTTTATAAAGTCAGCAGACACACAGATCCCATTTGTCCCACCCGTAGCTATTATGATCCTGCTTGTCAGGAGAAAGGAAGAATCATTCAACTGGGAAGAATAAAGAGGCTGCCTTCCACATCCATCTCCAGTGCTGAAGAAGAGAAGCTGTGCAGCTGACAGTCATCGTACTCTTGGGCTGATGACAGAGAGGAAGGGAATGGAAGAGAAAGAGGGAACTCTAGGCAGACTTTGACAGAACATGAGACAATTATTATAAGCTTTTGAAACTGTTGATGCATAGTAATTTTGTTACTGTGCAGTTAAAATCAAAACACAGATGTCAAATATGTGTAGTGACCATTACCGTTGCAAAGGTTTTTAAGTGGTTTTTTCCCACTGACTTTTCATTCAGGTCTCAAATAATTCCAAACTCTATAAAAAGCAAGCCCTCTGCCTGCTCACAACACTGTACATCACACACCAAATCAATGCTAAGGGAGATTCTGTACAAAAGGTTTATAGACTTCTCCATTATCTACCAGGAGCCCCATGGCTGATTCAGGGGTTTAAGTATCTTTTTATAGGTACTACAACAGAGAGATTATTCTCATAAAAGCAGTTCCACAATAATCTGCTTCTGTTGACTTATACTTAAATATGCAACTGTTTTTTTCCTATCTTATTCTCTTCTACTTTCATGAATACTTCCTACCATGATGTACAATCTTGTCCTCCAAATTCAAAGGTAAGTTCTGCAGGTACTGCTGTCTCTAAACAAATGGTAGAGCCCCACAAAATAATAAACATAAAGCTGATGTTGCATACATTAAGCTAAGCTGAAAATTTTCTAAGGTGACCTGTTGAAAAATGCTGATATTACAGGATGAAAATATCTTGCAGATAAATGCTATTTTCATTCAAGTTCTTACTGTACAATTATTGTTAAGTCTTACTATCAGAAAGTTGAAAGAATTAATTTCAAAAAAGTCCTAACACTTTTGCCCATCCTGTTTTTTAGCTAAATAACAGAATAAGACTATCATATTACCAGCTCTGAGCTTGTTGAAATGAGGTGCTGTGTATGGTGACAATAAAATATTTCTGCATATTTTGTTTGCAAAATATTCTGAGATTTTCACCCCAATTTAAGACAATGTAGAATTTTGAAATTTCACTATCTTGGATGGTAATTCCTTTTTCCAGCCTCATGTAGCCATTGGAGCCAATAAGAACAAAGCAGCAGAGCCTCCAAAGAAATGTGAGAAAGAGAATATACAGTGGTTGGTAATTATAAACACAGCTGACTGAGAAAAAACTAGTAGCTTTCCTGAAGCATTGTGACCTTTAGCAAATGAGTAATTTTATTAAATTCAAATTTTGATTTACTACCTGGGTTGGCAGGCATTACTGTGAGATTCTCAATGTTGTTAATGAATTTCTATGTTAATTTGCTTTTTATCATTTTAATGCACTGGATATTTCTATTTTAAACCCTACACATTTATATCAAGGAACAGTTTTAACCTGCCACTGACTTTGCTTTCACTGAATTGTCTTTCTCAAGTGCAAGTATCATCTCGTTGCTGCTCAAGTAGTTGCCCAAGTCACTCCACAACAGAGGAGTCCACAAGCATTCATTCATTTATCTCTGTGCACTGCAGTAATACTTCAGTATGTCTGGGTGACAGGTCTCAGTGTGGAGGTTACATGGATGGGAAAGCCTCAGAGTAGCAACCTGTGTCCTCAGACTGGCCCTGGGTTTTGTGTAAAACATCACTGTGTAGTTGGGCTGCTCTCCTTCTTTCCTCTCTTAAATCCCAGAGATTGGTATAGGTAAGAAGAAGAAAGGGCTTGTTCTTCCTGACTCAAAAAATCTGACAAAGGCATAGATTTGAAATGGGCAAGGAATCTAAGTGTGTCAGACTCTCAGCATATCTGAGTGATGTCTTGTTTGCATGATAAGCTTTGCGTTCTCTTAAATACAGAATTATGGAACTGTATCAGAGATTGTTGCAGATGTGTATCAGAAATCTCACTATCACACCCCTGCTGACAAGATTTTCCAAACCAGAAAGCTGGGAGTAGTTTATTCTTATATCTGAAAGCAGAGGGTTTGATAAGGGCCTTTACTCTTGGTAGCCTTCAAGAAGCAAAACGTCTTTCTTCCTGGAGCTGAGTCTTTAGTTGTTTATCCACATATCCAGCCAGTGAACCATAGAGTTCTGATGGTTATTCAGTGAAGAATTCCTGATGAATGGAGAAGTACTCTATGCTCTGATGTCCTCTATTTCGTACTTCCATTTCTGGCACAACATCCCTCTTACTGAGGTAAGTATAAGGAAGCAGAGAAACTCCTGGGAATGAAGGGCCTAAAACTTAAAAAAAAAAAAAAAAAAAAAAAAAGCAGTAGTAGAAGATACAGATTGAGGGCAGAAACTCTCCTCCAACTTACATCTTTTCATTGCCCACAAAACTGTAAATAGAATTTGAAGAGTATATTCCAATTGTACTCCAAGTCAGAATATTTAGTGATTAAACTCTGGGGCTAATTGGGCTACTTAATCACCAATGCAGAACATTAATTTCCAGTTTCAACTTACAAGGTTGAGTAACTATTTTTAGAGAAAATAAATGAAAGGAAAGACGCATAAGTTGTCTTGCTAGACTTCTGTAAAATTATGTTACTGAGAGAAGAGCACATTGAGATTTACTGCTGTATCATTTTTTGTTTTATTACAGAAGAAAAATTGTCTTTGCAGCACACAGTGCTTTCAGAAAAAAACATATCTAATTCCTTCCTTTTTTTTCTCTGAATAAAATTTACTGCTGTTTTTTCTATTATGGACATGCCTTAAGGCTCCAGCAGAGATGGTGTCACCATTCTAAAAATCTCTGGCTCGAACAGAGAGTGAGAGACATTTTCTGCCCTGGAAAACTGGTAGAGATAAGGGGGGAAAAAAGAACTAATAAGGTCACCTTTTACAGGTCAGTTAACTGTAACATTGAGTTTGTGTCTGGCAATATGCATCAAGTTGGAATTTGAATCCAGGTTTCCTGAAACCAAACCTGACAGCTTTGGGAAACTACTCCCTTACCTGGCCTCTTGAACTTCTTCTCATTTCTGACAGTCTGTGCTCGTTTTCGCTGGGGTAGAGTTAATTTTCTTCACAGTAGTTGGAATGGGGTTATGTTTTGGATTTGTGCTGAAAACAGCATTGATGATGCAGAGTTACTTTAGTTATTGCTGACCCCATCATTGAGGAGGCTGGGGGTGCACAAGAAGTTGTGAGGGAACAGAACCAGGAGAGCTGACCCCAACTAACCCAAGGGATATTCCATACTGTTACGACATCATGCTCAGTATACAGATCTGGGGGAAGAAGAAGGAAGCAGGGGATGTTTGGAGGGATGGCATTTGTTTTCCCAAGTAACCATTATGTGTGATGGAGCCCTGCATACCTGGAGATGGTTGTACACCTGCCTGCTGATGGGAAGAGGTGAATGAATTCCTTGTTTGCTTGGCTTGCTTGTGTGGCTTTTGCTTTACTTATTAAACTGCCTTTGTCTCAACCCATGAGTTTTTCTAGCCTTTATTCTTTCAATTCTCTCCCTCATCCCACTGTGGGGGATAGTGAGTGAGTGTCTGTGTTGTGCTTGGTTACTGTCTGGTGTTAAACCTTTGCACTTGTCATTGCTTTCCTGTGCATTAATTTAAAATCTTAGACATCAGAGTGTCATACTAATCTAGAGATAAAAAGAAGTGAATTTTAAAACCCAAAGAGTGATCACTCAGTCTTCTCCAACACTTCAGGGCTGTTAAGCCATACTGAAATTATCTCTGGATACAGAACAATATGATCATAGAAGTATAAGACTGTTCCAGGACACTGAGTCACACAGGTGCAGTTATACTGCCAGGACCCAGGAATGCAGTGAAAAGGACAAAATTGTCCATGAAAAAATGCCTTGGGTGGCAGGTGAGATCAGCTTTGTCTCACCTCTGATATAATCTAGATTGTAACTACAAACTTGTGACCTGAGCGTGGACACCCTTTTGCAGAGATAGACCTAAATTATGTCCCCTGCCTTTAACTGCTCAGCAATCTAAATATTAGAAAAGGGAAACAAAGGTAGAAAGAGTGAGAGGAAGCCCAGAGACTCTGTTGAGGAGCAGTAATTGCAAACATCTCATCATGCAAGCTGCCTGGCAGGGCCCACCCTTCTCTCCCCATCCTTGCCAATACAAACCAAGTTGTACCAGTGCTGAATGGGAAGTACACTGCCACAGCTCCCTTCTTTAATAAATAAACACATCTGTGCAATGTCACAACAAATTAGGAACTACTCATTCATTCAAGTTCATTGAGCTTGATGGAATCAATAATCACTGGGGAGCTGGCACTGGATTCCTTAAGGAAACTCTCTAGGAGTCAGTAATAGGAGTGAGAACTCACCCACCAGCTGCATTTCCCTGTAGACAGAAAACTGGGCTAAAATAAATCTTGGTCCAAATGAAAATAATGGATAATACTCACTTTAGATTGCACTATTTTGCCATCTGATCTTTTCCCTAAATAAAACATGAAAGGCTGTTCAATGCCCAATACATGATAACTCTATTGTGCGGTCTTGTGAAAAGAAACTGAAATAAGACCAGAGAAACAGTCCTTAGAATTTCATGATTACTTTTTGCCTGTCTGAAGGACATCAATCCATTCAAGCAAATTTGCTTTTGATTGCAACCTGCGTGTTCCATTTGGCCAACAACATGCTAGAAATTCAGACCTCTGCAAAACAGGTGTTTGTCCTTTCTCTAGATGGGCAAGTGTATAAGAGTAGAGCTTAGTATTTATTAGAAATGTCCAATCAATCTTCTGACTTTGCAGTTCTATGGATATATCACATATTAACAGGGCTGGGAATAAAAGTCAAACACAGTACCAAATGTGAAATATGGCAGTGCTGTAAAATAATAAAGAACAGCTAGAACTTCTCACTTTATTACTATTATAACAAACTTTTTACTGAGGAAGCCACAAACAAGTAGAAGAATCTATTGTGCTGGGCACCATTCAGGTTCTTAACTGGGGAATAAATCTCACCCCAAGTATTTTTCAATGCACGGCCTTGTAGGAATGCACACTCTGACCTTATTCTTGGAGCAGCTCCACTGACAGCAGTGCTGTCACAATGATAAAGTTGTGCTTGTATGCGCTGCAGAATTGGAGCTTTAAAAGATGAAACAAGAAAAAGGCTCATAGCCTACAGTGATCTGTATTCCCCATCATATTTAATAGCTGAGAAGCCAAGGCAGAGATTACTTGGGCCTTCATGATCAGAGGTCATCATTAGCCCTGGCAGTAACTGACAGACATTTTTTGGCATTTTTAGCAGGCAGATCAAAAATCCAAATGGACTCTGTAGACAGAATCCCCCTTTGATTAACCTATAAATTTAAAAATTATTATAAAATTAATTATATTTTTTATTACGATCTCATTAAGTTTTAGTAATAAAAGGAAATTAAGACAGTTTCTCAGCAGAAATGGGACTACTTTTCTGGAAAGGTAATAATCCAAATGCTGTTCTCAATAACTAACCATCACTTGAAGTTGCTATTCCCACACAGACAGACTTCGGGATAATAAAAAAAGAATCTAAATATAATAATTTTAACTATTAAGTGTCACCCACTCTCCAAGTTGTCCAAGGCATTTTTCAACAGTTTAATCATAAAAGTAGAATTTAAACTACATTAAAGAAACCTAGCAAACTACGAGTTTTGAGTTAAGTGTGTAAATTACAGATTTGCACACATTAAAACTTCACCAGGGAAGGCAATGCAGACAACTGGATGGAGCATTTGAAGGGGTTAAACAACTTGAGCTCTGATCCCGGCTCACTGACTTATTTAATCTTCCTGTAGCACCTGAGTGAACAACTCTTGACTTCAGAAGGTATTTCCTGAAGCTTCCACATCCCTGTGGTTTGAACCTGGCAGAAACAAACATCAGTGTCTAGGAAAACCCAGAACTGTGATAAAATATCTGTGCCATCTTTTTTTTTTTTTCTATAGTGACATCCGATAAGTAAGGACCTAACTACCTGGTCCAGCATGGTTGGTCTCAAAAATAAGAAGATTTAGGTGAGAAATGCAGCAGGGCATCACTGAAAGGTCATGGTGAAGGTTATGCTCAGAGCAAGAAAGAGCAGGAAATATTGTTTGACTGAGGTACCATGAAAAGCACTATTTAGACATAGGTCTGATGATTTACATTGCTTGAAACCATCTACCAGACTCTGTAGAAAAGGTTCTTGAAGGGACCCAGACTAAAAGAATAGCTGAGACATTTGGTATGCCAAAATGTCACATGGCATTATGCAGTTCAGAGGAGGATATCTTCCCTGTTGTCCAGCTCCTTTTAAGGATTCCTATATCTTGCAGTGCAAAGGTGCTGCCCCCACAAAAATTACTCTTCCCTTTTAGATGCAACCATCATGCCAGAGAGAAAAATATTTCAGAAAGCATGAATACTGAGCCCTTGTAACAGCTTTCACAGCCACGCCTCCGGAGTAAACTACATTCCCTTGGCAACTTGAGTTTGCATCTTGCGATTCGATTGAGTGAAATTAGCTCCATTAAAAAACATGCAAATGGCATCAGGCATAATAGACAGGATGGTGGTGGAATAGAGGACTGTTCATTCCATCTGAAGATGAGTCTGAATGGCAGCAACAGATAACTCCAGAAGTGGGAGGTTTTGAATTAAAAGAAAATGAAGATAAGCAATCCAGTCAGAGCAGTGTCACTAGTGTTACATAATTTCATATGCAAATTTGTTTATCCTAAGCTGCCCTTAGATTTCATGGACCCACTTAAGCTAAATCTAAAGGCCTGTCCTTGCACTGTGGAATTACTAGGGACATAAGAAAAATATTAACATCTGAAGAATAAAGATGATCTGGTGGAAAAGGTACATTAGCTGTGAGCAACTTTAATGTGCCTTCTGCAATGACCTGATGGAAAAGCAAAGCCCCTCTGCTGGAGTACCCAGCACCAGCAACTGTCATTTTTCTGCCTTTTCAAGAAATGTCTGATGAAGAGAGGCAGTGATGTGGCTGGCCATCGTGGTCCTGTTCTCCTGGGTACTTCAGACAGGGTGCACATACTGGGAAGTGACTGCTCCTTGGTCTTGCTTGGCCCTTTTACACCTAGGGTTGATCCAAAGAAGAGTCCTTCACACCAGCTGTCTTGATTTCCAGAGATCTGGAAGCCATCCTTTCTCAGTGGGAAACAGGAAGAACAGAGCGGCATTCTTCCTTTCACCTGCTAGAACTTTCTCCGTTGTCCCCATTTTTCACTGCTGTCTGCATGGTGTAATGTCTTACCTGTGGAAATACACAAGGTAGCAAGAATTATGGATTAGGTGTCAGTAAATGGGGTAAAAATGGTTTCAAATTGAACATTCCTTTTATAAATGTGATTTCAGATGAAGGTATATTGCAAGCTGCCACACAACACATTCAGCAAGTACTGCCTTGCTATCATAAGACATTATTCTGCCTCCAAATTTGATTTGTGTAAGGAGGGAAGCAGGAGAGTCCCTCATAAATTACACTGTTGACTAATTTTGTCATTGAATTCTGGCATACCAAGGTTGCAAACAATGTTTAGTTGCATAACCTTTAAAAGGTTATACAACCATTAGGTCTCATTTCACAGTCTTTGAAAACAGTGAGTCTATTTCTTCCACCAGAGTTTGTTTATTTAATTTCAGTATTTCCGCTTTTAAGAAAAATGTTCACAGTACACTCTTAGTCTCCCTATTTCACGTTTCACATTAAGTTATGTCATTTTAGGAATAGTTATGCTGAGCATTTCTATTTCTATGATTTTCAAATATTTAGTGTTTCATTCCAGCCTGCCTTGGAAAACTAACAAAAACATTTTGCCTTCTTAAATTGATTAACTGTATTTAGACCCTTTATAACTTGCACTCCACAATACTAGTGTTAAAGCTGTTAAAAACTGAAAACAGGGATACTGAACTCACCTTTACGTATTTTGTGCATGCATGTATGTGTTATGTTATGTTAATTACTGTAAGGCATTTCAGTGCATGGTATAGAAACACAGAATGATAACATAGGACCATAGAATGGCTTTGGGTGAGAGGGACCTTAAAAATAAACTAGTTCCAACCACCTTCCATGGACAGGGACACCTTCCACTAGACCATGTTGCTCAAAGCCCCATCAGACCTGGCCTTGAACACTTCCAGGAATGGGGCATCCACAACTTCTCTAGCCAACTTGTTCCAGTGCCTCACCACTCTCACAGTAAAGAATTTCATCCTAATATCTAATCTAAACCTACTCTATTTCACTTTGAAGCCATTCCCCCTTGTCCTGTCACTACATAATCTTAAGAAGGTTTCTCTCCATCTTTCTTGTAGGCTCCCTTCAGGTACTGGAAGGCTGCAAATAGGTCAACCTGAAGCCTTCTCTTTTACAGGCTGAACAATCCCAATTCTTTTAGCCTTTCCTTTCCATCCCTCTGATCATCTCCACGTCCCTCCTCTGGATTCGCTCCAGCAGGTCCACGTCCTTTCTGTGCTGGGGACCCCAGAGCTGGATGCAGCACTCCAGGTGGGGTCTCACCAGAGCAAAATAGAAGGGCAGAGTCATCTCCCTCCACCTGCTGGCCACGTTGCTTTCAATGCAGCCGAGGATATGATTGGCTTTCTGGGCTACATATATCTTTGTAGACAATTTTTCTGTAATTCTGGAACTATTTTTTATCTAAATATGTTTGTGATGAGATATACATAATTTTAATAAATTAAAACGTGCAGATAGTAGGCTAGTATGGAAAAGGCTTGTAGTCCCTGTCACTGCATCTAAGAGGAAGTAATGTCATCCTATAGGAATCACAGCATTTATGTAGGGCTGAAGCTGAAATGGATGAAATGAGCTGTGACTTATCATTTTACTTTATGTTTCCTGATGTTTGTAAAATCTCAGACCATTTGTGGATATTCTCTTTTCTTCTACATCAGATCTATGAGGAGAAAGTATTATTTTTTCATGTACATTTTATGGTGTATACTTTTCAGGCAAAGGGCGTGTGGTAACTTGGACTGAAGCTAGTTAATGTCGTACAACTGAAAAATACAGGACATCTGAGATTACTTTAGTCAAAAAAGCATACAGCAATGCCAGCCACCCTTTAAAGATTTTCCAACAATTTTTAAACAATTCCTTTGGTAATTTGTTCTACTGTGATTCCTTAATACTTGACAGGCATTGGCTGTGTATACTATGAAAATGTCATCTTTGTTGCCTTCCTAAAGCTTTGCTTTATTGTGACATCCACAAAAATATTGGAAATCACCTGAAACAATCTGAACAAAACAAAATCCGAAACAGTCAAGTAGATAGTATTTTGAGCTGACCACTTACACTCTATTGTTTCCTTGTATTCACACATCAAGCTGTATTTGCCTTCAACTGTTAATCAATGGGTGGAGGTAATATTTTCTAATATGTTGCCTAATTGGTATCCTCTAGGCATCCAATTCATGACCAGGGATCCAAAGTGTTTCAGCATTATGAATAAATGCAATTGAAATATCTCTGCATATATTTTTTCAGATCTCTCACAAAATATATATGGTTGTAAGGGACAGCCAAAACATGATGAGGAAAACTGTTTCTTCAGTACTAGTATCTCACGGCAGCTAGCAAGCACTAGGTTGAGATTAGGAGAAAACTCCATAATTTTCTTTTTCATTTTCATTTTTTACGTTAAAATTGAAACCTGATGAACTGCACAGATCTTTTCTTAGTTTTGTAGCTGAATGTCCAAGTAGGTTATGATACTGTCTCATAGTGGAGAGGGCTTGCACCTGTGTTCTCTTGTCTCTTACATTATGCATTTTCCCTTTCTGTCCAAAATGTTGTTAATGCTTAAATCCGGCCCTGATTTGGCAAGCATTTTGGGATGGCGATATATTTTGAAGGAAAAGTACCTGCTTGGGACTTCCATTGATGAAACCCTGATCATGCACCACAAATAGATTTAGCAGATCTTTCTAGACCCAGGCCCAGAAAGTACAATTGTGCCCCTCTCCTGCAGGTTTTTCTGTCAATGTCATCCTGTTTTTTCTCTTGGAAGCTGATCCATGTGACCTGGCCAAGTTGGACACAACTTAGACACTGTTCTTGAAGTCTGGAGTGTCAAAACATGAATTTCACTGCACACCCCATGCAGCTAAACTGCACATGCTCCATGCCTATTTGTCCTAGACTTCTACCACCCCTAATCCCTCTGGGCTACCGGATATCTGTAAATCATCCAGACCAGTGCAGTGCACGGATCAGAGGAAGATTATTAGTAAAGCCCAGTAGTCTTCCTTGGTAAACTTTTCCTGTACAATATGCTTTGAGTAATGTCTGGAAGTGGCAAAACTCATGCATTGGTTGCCTTCCTGTTACACAAATAAATCCTAAGAACTCTGACACTTTTATTCTCTCAGGGGAAAATTGACAAAGCAGATCAAACAAGGGGCTGTGTGAACTTGTTCTGCTAATGCAAGGACAAGGCATTCAGCTAACATTTGTGTAATGCCTTTCTTTTTGTTTAGAAGTATTTGTGAAAGAAGAGAAAAACAAGTTTGCATAGTCTGCAAAAGACAAGAGTTTAAGTTAGATACAAGGTCAGACTAAATTCCAATGGTAAAATTTATGTTGACAGAAACAGAAAAGTTGGTTCAAGGAAAGAAATGTTGATTCCCCCTCCCCATCCCTTTATAAGATACAATCTTATTGAAACTAAGAATGCTTGTGACTTAGCAAAAAAAGTAAAGAACCCAGGGTGAAGTTCTCTTAAAAATACTTTCTTAATGTTTTTTACTTTTTTCTAAATTCTCTAATTAATTTACAGTCACATTTCAATTTGTATGTATTAAGAAATACATATTATTAAATGTTGCATATTAGCAAACGTAGTGGGTCTGACTGGGATGTACTTAACTTTCTTCATAGTGCCTTCATAGTGCTGTTCTTTGTACTTGCAGCTAGAAGAGTGTGGATAACACACCAGTGTTTTGGCTACTGCTGAGCTTTTCTCACACACCACCATGGCTGTTTCTCCAAACCACTACCACCTGGCCCCAAGCCTCAAAACCCGCAGGTGGGAAAGAGGCTGGGAAGGGACCTACCCAAGACAACTAACTTAAACTGACCAAAGGGATATTCCATAACATTTAACAATATGACTCATCAATAAGAGTAAGAGAAAGAGGAAAGAGGGATGGGGGAATTAATTATTAAAGCATTTGTCTTCTGGACCAACCACTACCAAAGCCCCTACTTCACAGGTAGTGGCAGGTCATCACCTGCTAATGGGAAGTAGAGAATAAACCTCCGTGTTTTCCTCTGTTTCACCAGGTGGACCTTGCTTTTCTCTACTAAGCTGCTTTTATCTCAATTCATGGGTTTTTCATTTTCTCTCCCATCCTGCTGAGGAGTGACAGAGCTGCTTAGTGGGCGCCTGACAGACTTTCTATGGGCTGCAGGTCTTCAAGAACTGCTCCAGCATAGGTTCTGTCCATGAGGTGCAATCCTTCAGCAATGGACTTCTCCTGCATGCCCGTTCCCCCCAGAGACACAAAAAACTATCTCCAGCAATGGACTCCTCTCTCCAGGGCCACAAGTCCTGGCAGGAGCCTGCTCCAGTGCAGGGTCTCAACAGGCTGCATCTTCTTTCAGGGTACATCCATTTGCTGTGGCACGGGGTCCTACATTGGATATAGGGTGGATATCTGCTCCTTCATGTATCTCCATGGGCTGCAGGGGGACAAACTGCATCACCATGGTCCACATCACAGACTGCAGGGGAATCTCAGCTCTGGCACCTGCAGTACCTCCTAGCCCTTCTCCTTCACTGACCTTCATGTCTACAGAGCTGTTTCTCTTGCACATTCCAACTTTTCTCTCCCAGCAGTTGTTGTGACCCTTCTTAAATACATTATCTCAGAGATTCCACCCACAGTTCTCACGGACTCAGTTTTGGCCAGTGGCAGTTTTGTCTTGGGTCTGGCTGGAACTGCCTCTGTTGCACATAGGAGCAGCTTCTGGTGTCCCTCACAGAAGCCACCCCTTTAACCGCCCCACTACCAAAACCTTCCCATGTTCACGTACATTTTACTCTGTGAGAGTACATCTTAAGAAAAGCTTCAAAAACCATGAACTTTTTTTACTTTTTTGATATGAACATAAATTGCTACCTACAGAACCAAAAGGACTCTTAACATCCAATCATTCCTTCAAGTTTTCTACTATGCCAAAAAAAAATTGAACTCCAGCTCAATTATATATTTTTAATAGCTGTTACTGATTCTTAGCCAACCGTAATAAAGGTAGTTAATAGTTTACTGGCTTGCACTCTCATTATTCCAGCTTTGCTAGAGGCATCATGATTGCTGACTCATACATATTTCTCAATCAGATTATTTTTTCAGATACTATTCGCCAAACTGAGGCACTGCAGGTAAAGTTGAAAGCTTACATGAAACGCATTTAAAATTTCTAAAGAAAATTTATTAAAGCTATCTTTATTTTAAGAAGCTTTCTTTGACTTTCAGGGTTGAAAAAAAACAATAACTGGATCTACAATTCCTCTGAAAAATGATTGTGTTATTGATAAGTCAACTCCTGCATGAATAGATATTCACCTTCAAGCCTCCTTAATTTGTCCTCATTTTGGAGATATGATATGTGTTTTCTGGATGCAGAGGGGACACTGGCTTTGTTGCTTCTATTCCCAGCCTGTGAGAGTGAAATAAAATCCAGATAATACAAGTTGTGTGTTTTAATTAACACTCTTCATTTTTCCCATTTTCCTCTGCAACCATGAGGAATCAAAAAGGAATATTTTTTCCAAGACAAAGGTTGAGATACTCACACAGTTATGTGGTATAAAAGGGCTGTAATAACACCTTAAACACGACAAGACTTGTAGGAATGTCTAAATAACAGACAACATTGGGACTGACAGATTTCACAGAACAAATTATTCCAAAGTTGAGTGTTTAAGGTTAGAATCTGAGCTCCCATCAGCTTCCCTGGGGCCTAAACAGCTTCTGACAATCAGGTCCCCTTCAAAGCTACTTCTGGCTACTGCATGTTGTGATGATACACATCAGAGTGTACGAAAAGACAGAGGCATACGGGCATAAGTCTCTGAAAAGAAAGCCTGAATCTAAGAAGGAAATTTTGAGAAAGGGGACATGAAGAACATCACTGAAGGAAGATAAGGGAGGGGTTTTTAAAAGAGCAGACAAAAAGAACACAAAAGTAGCATCTGAGGGAAACCTGTTTGTGAAGAGGCACAGGCTGAGGTGCTGGGCATGAGTTCAATACAGCTGTGGACTGTATGCTTCTGTATGTGCTCCTTATCCAACACAATAAGACCATGCACCTCTTTCCTCGTGGTGCTTCCAGAATTATCTAATTTTTTTGCTGCTGCTGTTTGAGCATGCTGAGCTTTTGTGTACCCAAAATAATCCAAATCCCCAGGATAAAACCAGTGAAAAAAGGAACCTATCAACTATCAAAGAAATGAACTTTTTAGTTTCTTACTTTTGAAAATTCAACTTGAGTCGTCTTCAGCAGCCAAGCTTGGTCCTTGCTTGCTCAGAAGGTTTGCAACAGAACTTTTCATGCAATTCCTTTGTACTCCACACAGTATTCATCTCTGCCTTGGAGACTGTTTTTTAGCATTTTTCCATATTGTCTGAAAACCTGCTATATTCTCTGAAAGCAGCAGCCTTTAAGCTGCAGAGTTTCTTTATCAAAGAGAATCTTTTCTGCAGAAGCTCTCTATATTTGAAACACTGTTTCCTTTTGCCAAAAATTTCATTTGTGCTATGCCCTGTTTTATTCCAGCTGCATACGAAATAAATACTTATTACTAGCTCAATTTTACTGAAACACAAGTAGGAACTCTCCTTTGTGCCAGAATTTAGTGTTTTTAAAAGCTCATTTATCATAGTTAATCCTGCCAGGTGAAAATAGTGCTTGTGCTCAGTAAATCTTGCTGTAACTTGAGTTGTGGTGCTAGGCAGGTAAGCAACCTGTCTTTAAAAGGCACTTCTTTCAGCAGACAGTATCAAACGTGGATGGACAAAGCCACAGTCTTGATGGACCAGGTGGTTGTTGGGAAAACAGCACTTTTGCAAAACCCTTCTATCAATGTATACTGAAACAGCATTTTCATTTCTTGGTTCCCAGCATGTTTCTCCATCTCCCCAGATTGTAGCTCCACTTCAAGACTATTTCAACCCGACAGCTGGGCTTTTTGTGTTTGGGGTTTTTTCTGCATTTTCTGCCTCTCTGTGAAATTCCAACAGACTGGTTTTAAAGAAATGCATCTGTTGCCTTCAGTGCAGAGCTGTTGAGAAGCAAAGTTACTGCCATTCTGTGCCTTTGGAACAGTTTTTCTTTGGCTTACCTGCGACTTTTATGAGTCAGGATATGGGATTTGCCACTTCCCAGCTGTACATGAGGTTTCCATTTCTTCTGATGGGAGATAAGCTGAAATAAAATAAACTTAAAACAAACTCAGCCTGACTGAAGAGGAATATAGACAACAGAATTAGGAGCTGCAGTGACATGCAATGCCTGATTGTTCCCAATATCATTTCTTACTGTGGAAGTAATTACCTGGGAAGATGCTGAAATGTTGGCAGGGCTGGACTAAGTGAGGTCATTAAAGCATTTCTATTTTACCAGAGGAAGTAAACGTACCATCATTGGCATACATGTATAATTCTTTTCACTGAAGTTGAACTTAAAATATCAATTTTCTTTGCAGTTTTCAATGCAGAAACTGAAATTTATTTTTCATTTGATTTTTTTTCCTTTTTAATTAGATATAGATAATTGCTAGCTGTGGTCCATGCATCACCTAGCCAGTCTCTGGAGACTGTCTGGTCCATCTGTTGGGGTTTATGGTTCTTAGTGTAATTTTTCTGAGGCAAATAAATATAATTTGTACAACATCTTGCATAATAGAGAGTGTCCACTATGTCTAGATTTGTTGAATGTGAGAGTAAAATAAATGTACAAATATTCAAGGTGTTCCTAGGAAATATTTGCAGTGCAGAACCTTATGAGGAGGATATTCCACCCTGAGTCTGCTCTGTTCTTTCTTCCACCCTCTGCAGGTGTTAACACTTGCCTTTGAGCTCCTTCATCCACCCTCCTCATTATTCTAGTCACTGAATAAACACTTGCAACCTCACCTGTCACTCAGAGAAAGACTGCGAAGGAAGTCAGTGCCTTCATGGGACAGCTGAGAAAAGTAATTTCTTCTTCGGAACACTGTTGTCCTCCACACTGCAAAGGTAGAGAAAAGATTGATCTAGGTGGTGTTCTACCTGTCATAGCTGCTATTCTTTTGTCCACTTCATTGGGCAAATCGAAGACTGAGTTGGAAACATTTAGACCTAAAAGAAGGAACAACATATGGGTGAAAGCTTCTTTAGGTCTGGCATGAGTGCTGAATGAGGTCTGATTGTGGTGTTGCTCTTTGTGCATCAGGTTCCTGGAGAAATAGTGCAAGACATTGTCCGAAGGACCTTTTACACATTTAAATCTCAAAAATATCAACCTGTATAGAGTACACTGAGGTATCTTTATCTGTTAATTCAGTCTCACGCAGCTCACAGCTGTTTGATCAAAGCAGTGTTTCAGTGCAGTTTAGCAATGTGAGCCTACACCAGAACAGAGAGGAGCAACCTATATCTCTTTTGTAGTAAGTGGAAAAGGAAGGGCAACCCATTAATACCACTCTATCCCAACATGACCATGCTTATGTTCCCTCCAGTCTTCAATTCACAGCCAGGAAAACATCTCAGCCCTATTCACTGTATTAATTCTGTCCTCCAAAGAGAAATAAAAGGGAAAACTTGCTTATTGAGTTTTATGTTATCCTTTCATATTTCATATTTCAGTTCCTTATCATGGGAAGATCCTAATGTCTGATGCTAGAGGGAGCTCAAAAGCAGTATGAAATCTCATCTGGGCTAGCGACTAAAAATCTAAACAAATTAGCAGAGCAAAATTATCAAATTTTATAGGAAAAGAGTTCCTTTCTACTTTGATGTTAAAAGTAGTTCTAGATTTTCAGATAAGAAAACAGAAATTTTTCTTCTTTTGTTTTTACTTTTTTTTCTGCATCTCTCAGAAAAAAAAAGGGGGAAAAAAGTCTAACCCTGATGGAATTATTTTTTTTCAGTTATTAATTTTTCCTCATAATAATGTGACCTACAACAAACTTTTGTTTTCAGGTGAAATGTTTGGACCTAAGGTTCTGGACTACTACACAGTGAATAATTTCCAGCTCAAGTTCTAATCTTTTTTCACTAGTACTGGCAGTCTTAAACTTACCATAAAGGTATAAATGAGCAAACATTTCATTAAAAATGAAGAGGCTTATGACAATACCTATTCTCCCAAAATGGAACCACCTGAGCTTTTCTAATAGCTGGTGACATCCATTAGCAGTTCTCTCAGAAATTGAAAACATTTTCCATCTGTTCATACACACTCATTACAAAGTAGTTAAGAGCCTATGGGATCACAGACACATTTTTGCAAATTAAAAAATATCAAAATGAGTTATTGAAGAAGCAGGGATGACTTTGTAATAAGCACCTAAGCTTCAAACTTTCTCTTTTCTCAGACACTGAAGACACTCCATTAGTTGAAATCTGTTTAGTCTGTAACCTTCCAGAACATGACGTTTTGAAAATCTGTGCTATACATACTCTGAGAAGGCAAGCCAGCCCTGCCAGGTTACAAAACTCTAACAAAGAGCAGAAATCAGCCTTTTTCTTTGGCAGACATCACTGAGGATGAGTGATTAAGAGAACTCAAATAAAAATGGAACACTTATATAAACAATGAGATCAACCAGTATTATACTAATATGAAATAAACTTCATGAACAGTGTACTTGCATGTTGTCATGCCTGAAATGATCTCTAAACAATAAGTTTGGATTTCTCTTTCCTCTAGGAAAGCCTATTGGGAATGGACATTTCTAATAATTTCCTCCAGTCTGGAAAGATGATGAAAGATTAGTGAAAGCCTGCTACAGTCAGGGCTTCTAGAATGACAAAGAAGCCTTGGTCAGAGACAAACGTGTCTAATCAAATAAACACAATATCCTGTTCAACTTAAGTCTGTTTAGAGGTGTTCCTCAAAAATCAGTCTTGTTGGGAGTGATTCCAGTGCCATCTTACTCTATGCATGTTTCGTCACATAACTAACCTCTTGGTCAGATCTCCAGCTTGTGCATGTGTCTAATTGATTACTGAGTGCAAATTGAGAGTTACCATGTTTTACATTGTTGGGTCTTAAGCCTGATTCAGAGCTTTAAAACCCTCTGGGTTTTTTTGAGAAAAAGACTGTCACGTCTTGGTCTTGTGTCACTGGTACAGAGAGGTTACTTGTTTTGTTGCCCTGTGATTTCTCACAGCTGGAGAGATCTGCACATCATGGGGTTTTATGCTGGAATCAGACTACCTTGCAAGGTAAGGGAATTTTTTTCTTTGTTTCCTCTAATTAGTTATTTAATCCAATATTCTTATGGGATTTTAGAATCATAGAATGGTTAGCATTGAAATGGACCTTAAAGACCATTTAGTTCCAACTCCCCTGCCATGGGAAGAGATGTTACTCATTAGATCAGGTTGCTCAGAGCTCCATCCAACCTGGCCTTGATGGGATAGGGCATCCACATCATCTCTGGGCAATCTGTTTCAATGCTTCACCACCTTCCGAGTAAAGAATTTCTTCCTAACAACTAAACCAAACCTGCCCTCTTTCAGTTTAAAACCATTGCCCCTTGTTCTGTCACTATCTGCCCATATAAATGGTCCCCTTCCCTCCTGTTTATAAGCCCACTTAAGGTACCAGAAGGCCACAATGAGGTCTCCCTGAAGCCTTCTCTTCTCCATGCTGAACAACTCCAGCTCTCTCATTCGGTCTGTCTAGGAGAGGTGCTCCATCCCTCTGATCATCTTTGTGGCCCTCCTCCGGACTCACTCAAACAGATCCACATCTTTCTTGTGTTGAGGACCCCAGATCTGGACACAGTACTACAGGTGGGGACTCATGAGGGCAGAGGAGAGGGGCAGAATCACCTCCCTCGCCCTGCTGGCCACTTCTCTATTGATGCATCACAGGATGCAGTCAACCTTCTGGGCTGTGAAGGCACATTGTCAGCTCATGTTCAGCTTTTCACCCACGAGAACCCCCAAGTCCTTCTTGAGAGTAGAGCTGCTCTCAATGATTACTTTTCTCCTGTAGTCATATCTGGAATTGCCCCAGTCCAGATGCAACACTTTGCATTTGGACTCATTAAAATTCATGAGATCCTCATGGGCCCACCTATGAAGTTTGTTCATGTCCCTCTGGATGGCATCCCTTCCTTTTGTTGTGCTCAACTTTGTGTCATCACCGCTCACTGTCTGTGTCATTGATGGAGACATTGAAGAGCACAGAGTTCTGAGGGACAGCACTCATCACCTGCCTCCACCTAGTCATAAAACCATTGACCACACCTCTGACTGCATCCATCCAGCCAATTCTTTATCCCCCTGGCCAGTCCATGTTAAATCCCTGTCACTTCAAGTTGGAGATAAGGATGTATGGGACTGCAGTGAAGGCTTTACAGAAGTCTATAAATGCAGTTCTTTCAATTTCAAAGGTTCTCATAACACTTAACAAACCACACTGTCATATTTTGGCTTGCTACTTCACAGAATCACAAAATGGTTGAGGTTGGAAGAAAACTCTGGAGATCATCTGGTCTAACACTGCTGTAACAGGGCTGGTTGCTGAGGACCATGTCTACACCTGTTTTTATTATCTCTAAGGAGGGAGACTCCACAATGTCTCTGGGCAACCTGTGTCAGTGCTTAGTCACACCAGCAGTTTAAAAGTGTGTCCTGACGTTCAGGAGGACCCTCTTTGTTTCAGTTATGATTCTGTCACCGGGCACCACTGAAAACAGCTGAGCTCCATTCTCTTTGCACCATCCCTTCAGGTGTGATATAATCCCCCCTTGAAATTTTTCATATTTTGACTGAACAGCGCTCACTGTCTCAGCCTTTCCTCACAGGAGAGATTATAGAATCATTGTCAGTGAGTCTCACTTCAGTGACTGGTAAAGTTATGCAGAGGTATTCTGGGAGGTATTGAAAAACACCTGAAGGAGAATGCAATCATTGGTTGGAGCCAGCACATGTTCATGAGGGGAAAGTCCTGCCTGCCAAACTTAATTTCCTTGTATGACAAGGTAATCCACCTAGCTGATCAAGGGAAGGCAGCCGATGTAATGATTTTGTATTTCAGTAAAGCTTTTGATAGTGTCTCTCTCAGTATCTTTCCGGACAAAATGTCCAGCACGCAGCTGGATAAATGTGTCATGAGGGGGGTGAGCAACTGGCTCATGGGTCAGACACAAAGGGTAACAGTACATGAGGTTACATCAGGCTGGTGACTGGTCGCTAATGGGGTCCCACAGGGCTCTATTTTAGGCCCAGTGCTCTTCAACATCTTCATAAATTACTTGGGTGCAGGACTCAAAGGTATACTTAGTAAGTTTACCAGTGATCAGGAGGAGCTGTTGACTCCCTTGAAGGCAAAGGGCCCTGCAGAGAGACCTCTACAAATTAGAGGGCTGGACAATCACCAATCATATGAAGTTTAATGAAGATAAGTGCCAGATTCTGCACCTGGGAAGGGAAACCTGGATGTACGTACAGACTGGTGAGTGACTGGCTGGAGATCAAGGTCAGCGTTGTCTGGGAAGATGTAAAAGTAACTAGGAAGGAAATATAGCAAGGAAGAAGAAACCTACTGGAGGGAAAACCCTGGATAAGCCATTAGTAGTACACAAGTTATGCCCATGTTTCAGTCCAAAGTTGGTGAGAGCCGAACTCCAGGCTGTAGGAAAAAGGACTGTATAAGCTCGCTCAGTGAAACAAATATTTTTGGATGTCATGCAAATATACACGAGCATGAACAAAGAAAGCAGCATAGAACAGAGTGATGGGTCATCTGCAAAATGAGATGAAATAGAGTCCAGATGTTCTTAGGATTCATAAAGCAAGAGGTCGACTAACATACTACTCTGCACTCTTCCAATAGTTTCTAAGCTCTGTGATGAAGACATACCTTCCAGCTCCAGGATTTTCTGTATTAGCATACCGTGTGCTGCTTGGAAACTGATTGGCTTATTGTATGATGTGAGCACTGAGAATAAAATGTTAACTTGAGCCAACATTAGAGAAGTGAATTTTCTACCTTCCATTTACATATCAAATTTTCTCAGTCTCCTTTACAAATGAGGAGTTAGTAAAAGGAGCCAGAAAGCTCCTTTTTTAACATCACTTACAACTTTTCTTCTCAGTGGCCCACAGAGAATACAAGGAATCATGTTTTAAATAAAAATCCATAGGATGTGGCTATGCCAAAAGACTAAATCCTTGCTAAATGTTGATACATTGCCAGTAGCCTACAGTAACAATGGAGACAGTCAGAATTAAGGGCACAACATGACATTGTGTGGAGAGTAACAGCAATTACAGTACTTGGAAGATATTATCTTTCAATTGATTGGCTCCATGTGGAGAGAATGAAGACTGAGTGATGGAGGGAAATGAGAGCCCTCCTGTGAGGTTTGACACATGAGGAAACCTTCCATAGTTTAACAATTAAATTCTCTTCAGGCATTACAGACACATCAAGTAAGATGAGTCAAAAAGAGGTGATGTCATCCATTATAGAAATGATAATGTAATAGGTCACATTTTCCAAAAACTATTCCCTCTGCTCTGTATTTAATAATCTGAATGATCTTAGCCAAGATTTTTAAACACACATGAAGTGATCTTTTGGTGGCAAAGTTTTAAAAAATGCTCAAGTCACCTGAATGTCTCTGTTTCATTAAAAAAAAAGGAATTGTACTTTCATTGCCTTTTGAGGAAAGTCTTGTGTACATAATGGGGTGTACACATTTTAAAATTTGTCTCCAAATACGCATGAAATCAGTGTCAAAATTGCTGAATAGCCTCATGCCCAAATTACTTGTTTGGCAACTGGAAGTTCCTTCAAGTACTTTGGATGCAGAGTGCTTTTGAAAATGGAACCATTCATCTTTTATATATTTTCATGGCCATTGTGACCCAAGTTTTTAAAATTAAATTTGCAGTTTCACAGTCCCATACCACTCAGTCATATTGCTGTGACTTTCATGGTGGGATTCTTTTCCAGAATATCCAATATCTGGGCTAGACTACATTGAGGAAGATCTACTTTTTGTTTTAGAAAGAACAAAACTAGCTTTCCCCTGTAGGTACTCTATTTGGTGAGGAAAGCTTAAGATGAGAAAAAGAAAATTTAAAATTACAAGCCCAAAACACGATCACTAATTAGGGGCTAATTATGTCAGACCCAGAGTTATAGCACAAATGAAGAGATAAATGAACATTTGAATTTGAAAGAAAGAATACCAGTGAGGGACAGGGAGAAAGAAGGTATAATCTTTCTGGTTTACCTTTTGGTCTTTGTTTCAGACTATTTCCCTCAGATTTCTTTCCTTTAAAAAGAGGCAATGGCAATATGCAGACTGGACTAATCACTTTTATCTGGCTGCTAAAAACTGGTTTTAAAGAGACTGCTTTTCCCTGCTAATGATGTCAGGGTTGGAGGTGGGGGTAGGGTGCTGTCAGAAGGGCTATTTAAGTTCTGTTATCAATCTGAGACAGCTGGGTGCTGATTAGTTACCACACATTCCTAAAATCAGAAATATTGCTGCTAAGATTGGATTTTTGGTGTAACTCTTTATCACCTTTTAAATGGACACCTTGCTGAACAGTCTGTTGAGGGAGAATAGATGACTTCTGTAAATTCTGATGCCTTCAGGAAGATACTGTTGTGCAGCGTGCTGACTTTGCAAAATCTTGCAAACAGTGATGCTAACAAATGAGTGGCTCAGTATTGGAGTGCTAACTCAAGCAGATGTTGTTTCCATCAGGCACATATCAGCAGGGAACAAAAATAAAAGGTACCTCACCTTTCACATCCTACATAGAGTCAATACTTCTCAGCAGACCACCTGCATATATCAAACAGTCCTGGGAGGGAATGGTAGCCTCAGTTATGACCTGCAGCTGTGCTGATTAACACATATTCCCTCAACATCCATGTATAGTATTTTGATCTTATTCCTCCCGGAAGTCATAGAATCTTTAAAGTTGGAAAAGATCACCAAGTCCAACCATTGACCCAGCATCACCATGTTCACCACTAAACCACATCGCTCAATGCCACAACCACACACACCTTTTTAACACTTTCAGGGATGGTGATTCCACCACTTCCCTGGGAAGCCTATTCCAATGCCTGACCACACTTTCAGTAAGAAATTTTTCCTAATATCCAATATTCGATACCTCCTCCCCTGGTGCAACTTGAGGTCATTTCCTCTCATCCTGTCACTTGTTACCTGGGAGAAGCTGTAGAAAGAGATAAGATCCCCCTGATCCTTCTTTTCTGCAGGCTAAACAACCCCAGTTTCCTTGGCTGCTACTTGTAAGACTTGTGCCCTAGACCCTTTACCAACATCATTGCCCTTCTCTGGAATTGCTCCAGCACCTCAGCGTCTTTCTCGTGGTGAGGGGCCCAAAACTGAACATGGCGCTTGAGATGGGGGTTCACCAGTGCTGAGTAAAAGGGGACGATCACTTGCCTAGTCCTGCTGGACATACTGGCCACGCTATTTCTGACACACTGCTGACTCACATTCATGTGGATGTCAACCAACGCCCCCAGGTCCTTTTCCATCAGCCAGCTTTCCAGCCACTCTTTCCCAAGCATGGAGCGTTGCATGGGGTTGTTAAGATTTTTTGAATCTGATGCAACCGGCCTTGGCCTGTCCAGGTCCCTCTGAAGAGCCTTCCTACTCTCCAGCAGATCAACACTCTCACCCAACTTGATGTTGTCTGCAAACTGACTGACTGCAAACTCAATCCCCTCATCCAGATCATCACTAAAGATATTAAACAGATTTGTATCCAGTACTGAACTGTGGGGAATACCACTTGTGACAGGCCAACAGCTGAATTTAACTCCACTCTCACAGTGAGCTGTGGGCCACCTTTACTGAGAATAGGGGATGATGTGGCTACACCTGCACTGGTGATGTGAGTTGTATGATTGTTTCTGTTCTACCTAGAGCAAAACACAGAGGACAGGGCCTTTTCCAAAACTTCCTCCTCTGGACCTCTAGTCCCTTGCTTGTGCTTCCCATCCTGATTCCCTCCTTGTCTTCCATGGTGGCCCAGCTGAACTTTGAACTGCTTGACCAAGAGAGGGAAAATAATGGTACTCTGCCAGGCAGTGCTGCCTGCAACCAGACACTCCCAAATTCAGTACCAGCAGCAATAGATAGATGAGGGGAAAGTTCACTTCCAGGCTTCATGCAGTACATCTCAGGAGGGGTGATAAAAGCCCAGACATTTCCCCATGAAATCCTCCCCAGGCAGAAGTTGTGCTACAATTC